AATGGTCAAATCCTTAATCACCCTTCATGATCGCACAATATAACTTAGACGGTGAAGTCTTGAGTGAAGCAGACCGGGAGAGAGAGAGAGAGAGAGAGAGAGAGAGAGAGAGAGAGAGAGAGAGAGAGAGAGAGATACCTTATCGTAGAATTCAAGTGCAAGTCTGTTGCATTTCCATTTCGCATAGGATGAGATTGACTCCTTTGCATCTTGTTCAAGATTGTTGCAATTAACAAAAAGGAAACTGGAACGGATCTGCTCAGACATCATACTAAGGGACAATGGGTTCGCCACTGTTTCCAGTCTCTTACAGCCATGTGCCCCAAAGAACTCAAGATTTGGTGGAAGCGTTGGAAGATATCTGAGATTCTCGCAGTTCTTCAAGACAAGCCATTTGAGATGATAGAATTGACTGAGATTACCTTGCAGATGGACCATTGCATCATTTCTACTTAAGCATAAATGTTGCAACGAGTATATCTTCGGGATCTCTTTGATTCTTGTGCCATCAAGCAATAAGATCCGTAAATGTTTCATGTTTTCTACGTCCTTTGGAACACTCCCGAGCTTTGAACAGCCAGAGCATATGAGTTCTTCAAGAGCTTTCTGGTTTCCAAGATGTTTGGGAAGACTCTCTAGTTCTGTACATCCTTTCATATTTAAGATGGCAAGTCTCATCAGATCCCCGGTGGCTGGAGGGAGTCCCTTTATTGCAGTTCCATCTAAATATAATGCTTCCAGATTTTCCGAGGAAGCCGTCCCCCTGAGTACCATGTGGTTCACTGAGTATGAGAATTTTCAGAGAACTCATATTCATTCTTTGAAGAAATGTGAGACTCGTGCAACGTCTCATATTCAGGAAGACAAGACTTTTCATGTTTTCCATCTCTTGGGGCAGTTTAAGCAGACTTGTGCAACCTTCAAGATTCAATCTTTCAAGATTTTTAGCATTTGACAACCCTAAAAGGTTAGTCAACTTACTTGAATAGCTGAGATTGGCCCACTTTAGTTTTGGGGTATCCTGTAAAGAAGAAGAAGAAGAAGACGAAGACGAAGAATTTAACCATGAATTTGATGTTTTCTTCATATATATAAAATAGAAGAATTGTGGAGTACAATGAGACACACCTTTACACCCACCCAAACTTGCTTAATGGAGCTATAAGGCAGTTCAAGATCAACAAGATTCTTCGGGTTGAAGTCTGATGGCAGTTTCTCCCATGGATATTTCATCCAGTGGAGATACCGTACCTTATGTAATGGTAAGCGAATTTCCTTATAGATGTCAAATGTGAAGATACCTTCGCCTTGCTTAGGGCAGGCAGAAGTGCATATTTTGAGATATCGAAGATTGCACATTTTGCTAAAGATGTGAGAATCAAATATCGTTTCCTCCGGAACTTCAGACATGTCTAAGAATATACCTCTGACATTTTTCATTTCCTACAACCAATTAATGACAAACAGTTAGCAAATCACAGAAGAAAAAATCGTCTACCAATTGAAATTCTAGAGTACTGGCCAAACACTCCCAAAGCGGAAAATTTAGCACAACTAGGCTAACACACGTTAGAGATTCCAATATGTTCAAATAATCTCTCACCAATTTATTCTTCAGCCAACAAATGATATCTTGATAGTTCCGGAGCATGAGATGAACCTTTGTATTTTCTTCGGTCAATGCTTGTGAAGCAATTTCCTTAGCGAATGTACATACTATATCATGCATCTCAACTCGACCACCAGAAATATTGACGAGAAACTTGTCTTGGAGATCTCTTATGTCATGCCAAACCATAGTAGACTTAGATTCACATGAATTTACCAAGCATCGTACATAACTTACATTCTCTGATTTGAAGAAACATGCAACGTCAAGAAAAGCATCTTTTTGCCTCTCTGTGAGTTCATCATATCTTTTTCTCAAGACATATTGGATCATCTTATTGGAGCTTTGTGCCAGTGTTCCAATCCTCTGTTCCCAATAAGCCTCGTCTTTCCCACGAAGTTCTACACCAAAAGCTCTGAGGACTAGTGGGTTGCCTTTGGCATAATTCAGAAAGTGTGTGGACAACTTTACGAAGTTTCCCTCGGCATCATCCAAACCAAAGGCGTGATTGGTAAACCACAGTAAACTGTCTCTGCTGTTCAACCTTGGGACTACATAGGTATCGTCAACCAGTTCCTTGAGCAGTGACTTATCACTTGATGTAATAACAATCTTGCTACCTTTTTTGATCCAATCACATTGACCAAAAAGAGATTTGAGCTGTTCCTTGCTACTAACATCATCTATAACAACAAAAACTTTCTTTTCGAGAAGATCATCCTTACAAAACTCATGTTCATTCTCTGTATATCCTGTCTTGTAATGAATATCCTTCAACAGCTCTTCCAATAATCTCTTCTGCAATCCTGGTTGACTCGCCATCTTACTGACATCTGGGAAAAACATGCTCCTCTCAAACTTGTGTTCCCACTTCCTATACAATGTTTCCGCAAGAGTGGTTTTACCAATCCCAGGCATCCCAACAATTCCAACAATCATAGTTTCTACGCAATCAAATTGTATCTTTCCTTCTAGTTCCTTAAGGCGCAGTTCTATTCCGTAGTGGGGTGGAGACTGTTCGATGTGTCCAGAGGAAATATTACCATTTGAACTCAAAGTAGAGATGTCATTGAGATGTTCTCCTCCTACTCTGCATAACTCGTCAATCATGGCTTGGCGCTTAAGCGGAGTCATTCCATAGTCAACATCGGTGACTGATATTTCAAGGGAAGAATATGGAAACTCATAGGAGCCTAGAGAAAATGTGTCTACATTCTCTGCCCCTGAGGCTTTTGAGATCCCGTTCAAATACTCTGTTACTCTGCTTCCCAGTGAAATAGGGCAAGCACTCGTTTGATCGAGTCAACGATCTTTTCAACGAGCTCCCTCTCGTTCCTACAATACAAATG